CTTCCAGTCCCCAACATTCTGTGATTCTGAGGGAGGTCGGCGGGGAGCGGCGGAGCTCTCTGCGCCCCAGGCATCACCCACCCCCCACGGGTGCGCGGGTCTGCGACTGCCCCACGTTGGGCAACCGCTTAAACCTCTCGGGGTCCATCTCGTAATGGCTTTCTTGGAGTCTTTTTGCTTTCTTGTGAGGGAGCCAGGCGTCCTGCTCCCGCCTGGAATGGCAGCGGCGCCCGCAGGGCTGCCTGCCCCGTCCGTCCTCGGCAGGGGCGGCCCCGCCTGCCCCTGGCCCGGCTCAGCCGCTTCCACCTCTTAGGGCAGGAATTTACAGAGCGTTTTCTTGCAGAACGGAAAACTACTGGTGCAGAAGACTCCCTACCTGGCATTTTCTGTATATCATTCATTTAGAAAAAGCTAATTAATCTTCTTAGGAGTATCATATAATAGCACAAGGGGATACGATGAGAAAAGGTGTTCAAGAGCAAAACACATGTATTGGTCCAGTCAACGATTTGTGATTTATTCTGCTTTGTCAAAACCTTAACAATGACAGATATATTTAATTTATTATATACCTGCTCAGGTGTCCTGTTTGGTTCCACTGTTAGGAACACCAGTATTTCTCCTAAACATGTAGGCAAAAGACCAGCAGAGTCATTTAGAAAGTACTCTGTAGGCCTTTAGGTAAACTTCGTAGGAATGAAGTAGGCAGACTTAGTTTTCAGGGGACACTCATGGCTTTCCATTTCTACAGGAAAGAAACCTTGACCGTACAAGCTAGACAGGAGCTCAGAGTGCTCCATCCAGGTTGTCCAGAGTAGATACCCCATGGCACGCACAAGTCTGGAAGCTGCCAGTTCAGCTTATCTTGGACAGTAAATGCTGTGAACTGGCAGCTCTCTAGTATGTCTGGACAAGTTTCAGGAAAGGTAACCAAGCTGCTGGCCTGTAATCTGTTAGCTCTCTCCAGCTAACAGCTCTCTCTCTTGGGGAAAAAAAATTGTCCCAAGCCCTCCCTACATACTTGGGACCATGTTTAACGAGGTGGAAGAAAATTGGCAGATGCAGCATTTTGACTGTGCCAACGTTAGTACCTCTATGATATGTGATAACTTAATGATTAATGATTTTAAAAATTATTTAGTGGTTTTATGGAGATTCTTCTATGACTGGTGTATGGTGAATTTTACCAAAATGTCAGAAGTACATATTGAATTACATGACCCCATTATAATGGGTTTTTCCCTACCAAGACACTGACATTTGTAATATAATTTTTTCGCCCTGTATGAGCTGCTGTAATGATTAAGACGTTTAACTTTGTTCTTCACTTCCTTAAATAATACCTGGAAAATAAAGTAAGCTGGAAACATTTTGCTTCTATATGTAGAATAACAGATATACTAAGCTACTAAAGTGAAGCTTTTTCTGCTATTTTTTTAAAATAGAATCATAGAATAGTTTGGGTTGAAAGAAACTTTTAAAGATCATCTAGTCTGACCTCTGTGCTATGGGCAGGGACATCTGTCACTAGATCAGCTTGCTCAAAGCCATATCCAGCCTGACCTTGAACAGTTCAAGTGATGGGGCATCTGCAGCTTCTCTGGGCAACCTGTTCCAGTGTCCCACCGCCCTCACAGTAAATAATTTCTTCCATGTATTCAATCTAAATCTACCCTCTTCCCATTTAAAACCGTTGCCCCTTGTCCTGTCCCTACAGGATCCACCGAGATCCATTTGTCTGCATGCTCTCTACCTTCCTGTAATTTTACACTTGAGCTACTACTAATCAAGAGCTATGCTGGATTTTTAAAGGTGCTCTGTTCCCATATAACCAAAGACTGTTATTTCCAACACTGTTCAATGCATTGGGCATCAAGTAATTTTGGAGGTGTGTTTATGAGTATCTGAATGGAACCTTCTTGCTACCTAATGCTTCTAACAGCATGAGATGTTTTGGGTAGCCTAAGAAAATTATCTTTGGAAAAATCATGGCTTGCTTGTGAACATTAGGGTGTGCTCATAAAGACCTAGTGTGGCACAGTGAAGTTACTGGAAATCTGTCACCTTGGAAGGAATGGATCAGACTAAGAAAGCGATTGTGTGTCCTTTTTTACTAAGCTCCCATTTATTCTCTTGGTAGGTTCACTTCATCACCAGGTGAAAATGCATTCCAGGTGAAGATCACTGCTCCTGATGAACAGTTCACTCGGGTTGGTGTGCAAGTATTAGACAGGAAAGATGGTTCCTTCCTTGTGAGATACAGGATGTATGCAAGCTACAAAAACCTGAAGATAGAGGTCAAAACCGGAGATAAACACGTCGCAAAGTCTCCATACATTTTAAAAGGTAAGAAGCAGCACTACATGCAGATTTCCTATCATGACTTCTTCTCACAAACTGTATCCCGGAATGTCTTCTAGGATTAGCATAGGATTCTGTGGGATCTCAGTACTTCTCCGGACTATCGAATCCCATTGGTGTTATGGATTCATAATGTATCCTGCATGTACTGTTAGAAATAGTAAAAAGAAACAAATGCTGTGAAGCTGTTGCCTAGCAAATACATCTAGAGTGCTCACACAGAAGCTGATGTAGCTAGGCATGGCTCTGTTGGAGTAAAAAAAGGTTTGAACATGTCCTTTTAGAGCTGCTGAAGGTTTGGCCCTAAGCAATGGATGTTCAGTGCCTGACCCTCCTTTCTGATCTCAACAGCGCAATAGTGTAACATACTGAAAATAACATAATAATTGTGTTCCTGATAGGACCTGTTTACCATGAAAACTGTGACTGCCCTCAGGAGGAGAGCAGTGAATGGCTGGAAGAGATGAACTGCCCTCAAATTATTCCACAGATTCAAAGAGACCTAGCAAATTTTCCCATTGTTGATCCAGATAAGATTGCAAAAGAAATTCCACAGAGGTTTGGGCAAAGACAGAGCTTGTGTCATTACACCATCAAAGATAACGAGGTATGGAATGGGTTGATCTGAAGTCCACACAAGGATTTGGTGGCAAGTCATACAACTAGGCTGCTTGGCTCTTCCCAGTTGAAAGGCTTCTTGTCAGCTGTTCTTTAAGAAATTTCCTTTGCTTGCTTCTCTGTCCTTGAATACTCTGCAGTTTGTATATAAGCTCAATAGTATCTGTCCTACTTTGTAAAGTGCTTTTTGGCCACGTTACAACTGAAACAGCTGAAGCACAGTGAAAGCAAATTACTTTCCAAGCAATCAGTATGAGTACTGGGCACAGACCTGTGTCTCCTGAATGCTAATTCAGTTTCCTGTTCTCTGAGTAATATTGCTGTGGCGTGTCATGATCATCTAATTGGACATTCATCAATAAATTACGTTGTGCATAATTCTGCAGTAAAGAAATACCACTTAAGTCGTTTTTTTTGGTCACTCTTCTGGGATGAGTTAGAGATGAGATTTCTAAAGCTTCCCAGCTGATTCATAAATTTATACAGCCATACAATCTGTCTGACTAGTTGCTTACTAAGTGATTAGAAGAGCTCTAAATTGTGCCAGCTGTTTTCTGAAATGAAAACACCAGACCAGTAAAATTTGTGTTTATTTTCAGGTTTATATAAAGACATATGGGGAACATGTTGGCTTCAGAATTTTCATGGATGCCATACTGCTTTCTTTGACAAGAAAAGTGAGTATATCTATACAGTCATTTATTCTCTGTGTCCTAATTTATAGAAGCCTGGGCTTAACAAAAATACTTGAGCATATTTGTTGCTATATCTGTTAAAAAGCCCTTCTTGTTCTTTGATTAACAATGGAAAGGTAAGATGGATTCTCCTTGTTTGAAGTTAGGATGTTTTAGAATGCTCTCTGATCAGTGTATGGAGTATCACAAATGTTAATTGAATAGCAGGCTTTTATAGGAGAGTTGATAGATTTGGACAGAGTGTTTTTGGTTTTTTTCCCTTACAGACTAAATAAATCATCCTGTAGCACCAAATATAAAATTCTGCCTCTGCTAGTACATTTTACAAGATGACTGGCTGACACACCAGAGGGCTGTGCTGCCAT